CTCGGGAGAGCCCGAGCCTGAAAGTGGCAGTGGCCATCATTTTTGTGCAGCCTTCCACTTCATTGACTACGTTCCAATACCGAGTATTACAATAACAGAGGGTTTCCTCTTCCTTTTTACGCATCATAAGAAATGCGTCGACATCATTACTGCTAGTGATTAACCTAGTTGAGAACAAGTCGATCATCTGCTTCCAAGAACTTATGCTCTCAAGCATCAATCCCTCCTACCATTTTCATGGCGGTGTCTCCAAGCTCATTGGAAAGACTCGACACATCTGTTTGTGGTTCATGTCATAGTAGGACATGTGTTGCTTACATTGATAGATGTGTCTCTCGGGATCAGATCTCTCATCATAGATTTTGAAGCGGAGAACAGTGAATTTTCTCGACGTCTCTATTTCTCGGATGCGCTGGAAGGGGTTTCGCCTTTTTTTCCTTTTTAGTGGGGTTGCCCCTTGAGGAGCGTTCCCGCTTAGAGACGTTTGACCTTGAGGCCTTTAGTTCAAGTCAGTGGCAAAGATCATCCCCAGGCAAGCTCCCTGAGATATCTTGTGATTTTACCCTAGGGTTGCTCTAGATAGCACCCCCCTTTTCAAGTGACTATCTCCTTTCAAGGTCCCAGTTGACATCTTATAATCCTTAATCAAGTTGATAACATTGACATGATCTTTCTCGATTTTCATGAATCGGTCAGCCAATCTCTCTTCTATTAGGTCCAACAACTCGCGGGCAATGAGTCATCCTCCCTACCCACAAGGTGTTGGATTTTGTGCTTGAGTGAGAGGCTGAGTAGCTCAGTGGATCCCATATGACTAATCCAATGATCTAGATGCGATGACAATGGTTTTATGGGCAACATGCTGGGCGTCGGCTTCTCTAACGGTCAAGTTATCCACTGGATCAACTTGAGAATGAGTGTTAACCATATTGACAGCTACAAAGAAAAATTAAGCTCAAAATTTTTTTCCATAGACGGCGCCAAATTGCACAGGTGAATTCCTACAATAGATTAAAATAGCTTGTCCACGGTCAATATTGAATGGCTGGTTCTTGCAATAAAGAACAGAGTTAGGAATGGGGTCAGAGACGTGTCCAGCTTATCCCTTTTGATGCCCAAGTCAGTAGGAGTTCAAAGGAAGGATAAAACTTCTATTGTGCTAGATTGCTCGCAAATTTTTACTTGAGACTCTATTTAGTGGGTTCTCATCACTGAGTTACACCGTCCTCGAGCCATGCAATTGCTAGGTCTTTGGAAAGTCGACATTAAATCAGGATCTGATATTATAATGATTAGTCATCTTTGAGTGCCGAGCACTCAATGCACGTCCCCTCAACATTTAATAATCTCTACAAGTAATTTGTTGAATTAAGCCAAATACTCGTTACTCTATTTCCCGATCATTAATTCTCTCTCACCAAGAGATCCAGGCAGGACCATGTCTTTATTCGGATCTAATGGGATTTGCGGTGCAGTCTTCGTTGATCGGCTAGTGTGTACCCATTTCTCTGATATATCACATAGTGGTGGGGCCACATCACTCGGGCCTGTGGACGTGTCAAATTCTAATACGAATATGGCTTTGTGTCCCGTTAGTTACACTAGCATGTATAATGTGCCTAGTATTTATCGGTCAACCTTTAGGTGGAGAAATCAAAATTCAAACAAAAAAGTGAAGGAAAAAAATAAGAGAGAGAGAAAAATGATCGGCGTAAATAAAGCTTGAGTAGATAGACCGACCATTTAAGTGGGTCATGGGTCCCACTTAAGATGTCTTTAGTCCACAATCAAATTTTTTCTTAGCTGCAAAGTGAAGATGAATGTGGGGCCAGGGGCGAGAAAAATGTAATCATCACCTTGTGTTGATCTTTGACCTAGAAAAGTCTCCTGGGCAAGGCATGTCTGCCACGTGATAGTATTCTAATTTTGATTGACAGTACCCCAACAGAATGTTAGATTTTTTTATTTTTTTCATAATTAAGTTTTTGATTTGTCTTATTGCACAAGAAAGTATACAAAAACCACGAAGACGGATGCTGTAAAAACTACAACATTTAATGTGCAAACTGTAGAACTGATCCAAAAAATCTATGATTGATTCATTTTGAATGGATTTTAAATCAATCCAATTACCTTATAATTTGATTAATTTATTTAAATTATAATTTGATTTTATTAAATTATAATTTGATCGTATTAAATTATATATTTGGATATTATGCAAATATTCAAAAAAAACACCCATTGGTACTCTTGTCCTGTTCAATTAGCATGGTTGAGGACGAAAATTATAGTAAAAAAACACAATTTATTGCAGTTTGGTATATCAAGTTATTTAAAGAGTATTGCAAATTAAATATCTATTTTTCTAACAAATAATTCTGAATAATTACAGTTATCCACAAAATCAAATGTACAGGTTGAGTAGAATACTGTTTGAGGCTTCGTTTGGCGAAACCGAATCCGATATTCCTCCAAACACGCCCGACAACGACCCCTCCTGACATGAAAAGCAGCCCCCTTTTTTTAGATAGTGAAAGAAAAAGGCAAAAGTTGCAAGGCATTCAAACCTGCAAGCTTGGAACATGGTGTGTAGGGAAATGTTACTTTTATTTAATTTGGAGACTTAATCTGTTGGATTATAAGTGATTTTTTTTAATTTTAAATCTCACAATTATCCGATGGTCACAATGAATTAGATCCTCAATTAAATTCTTAAATCAAATTCTTACCGCAATACTCTGATGTGTATCCTTTGAAGAGAAGATAAAGGGGGATTGAAATCTTTTTCGTTATATTTTGTCCTAACTTTACCCAACAGTATATCACTTATTATTTATTCAATTGGAATTTATTATTTATAAGTGAGTCCACCACTCATATACGGTGAGTATATCAATTGTGATGAATATTCAAGTGACATGCATTATATATAACTGAGTCTTTCACTTATACATAATAAGAATATCATTCATCATAAATTTAAGTAACGCACGGGTGAGATCCTGCAATGAGTTGAGATAGTGATCCGTTGGATGATGAACCTAAAATAAACAAAGGATTAGGAAAGGGGCCGAGTGAACGCCCAACTAATTCCCTCCGAAGCTCAAGTCAGTCGGCATTAAAGTTATTAGTACAATATATTTTTTGGATTTAAATTTGTGTACCTTAGTCCAGCTTTCTAAGCTATATTTATACCTGGGCTTGTAATGATGGAAGGATCTTTAAAACCATCTCAGAATTTAATGGTCTGCACTTGTATCCAAGCATAATGAGTGTCATCCCATCAAATCTCCTCAAGACTAAGTCTGTCGGGCGTGTGGACCCTTACTCGGGAACCGCCGAGCATTCATGGCCCAACCCCCCGTCATTAAATAGTTCTATTCGGTGTTTAACACCTACACCCCAGCATTCACTACTCAGGAATAAGCATCCTTAGGGTTTACTAAGGACATCAAGTCGACATAAAGACAATTAATGCCTTGTAATGATGATTGTCTTCATATTTCTCGAAAACTTGGATACTCATTAATGACTCTTATAACCATTCATGATCCCATTAATGAGTTGACATATCCCCTTTAACGCTAGGCTCTGTGGGGCATACTCAACTCTCCAGGTTATAACTTTTTGGCGCCTCCTGCAGGCGCCCTTTGCGTTCACTAACGATTACAAATGGTCCACGTGTCAATTTATGGTTGTTGAGCCGCATAACGTCCCATCAAGTAATATCTAACGAGCCCATATTTTACTGGGTCATACCTAATTAATTAAGTAAGCCCAAATTAGATACAAGCAAGGTCAAGCCCAACTCGTGGATTCGGCCCAATCCAAAGTCCAAGAGATCCAAAAACGCACGTGAGGAATAATCATCTGAATATCCACTCTCAAAAATCAAGATAATTTTTAATTGTACATACCTTTTTGTAATTATCTTCAACGAAGGACTAGTGTCTTAACTCTCAAGCAACTGCCTCAACTAAGGCTATGTGCCTATAAATTGTAAACTTTCTATACATGAGAGAGCACCTCTCTACACACCCTACACATATATTTTCTCTTTTCTGAGTTATCATACCTCTCCCAGAGCTAACCTTTACTCTCTCTCTCTCTCTCTCTCTCATCTTATTTTATTAATAAAGTTTCATCGGCCACCGTTGTTGTTTCTCAGACTGAAGTAAGTCACCTGGACCGATCCACTATATATATGTGTGTGTTGACCAAAAATTTACCTTTTGTCATTGATTGTTTTATTAATTGTCCCATTAATTTCTTTGCATCATCCACTCGACTGTTGGTTGTGCATAAATTTATTTTGTACATCATTAGTTTGATGTCATTTGTGGGAAGCGATTTGATTCTCTCCTTATAGTCTTCCTACCTCCAATGGCAAGAACAATCACATCCATGAAACAACAAGCAAAAGATGACCTGTCACATCATGACGAGGTCCAGGCATCACCAGCAAAAAGTAGACACATACAAAATCTAATTTTTTAATAATTTGGGATTAAAAACTCAAATTCAGAGAGAAATAAACATTTTTTAGGAAAATTTGTTGGCCAAACCACTTTTGATAGTTTATAGGTCGTAGATCTCACAAAAAAAATTCCCGAATTCAAAAAATATCGCCTCAAACGGACAACCAAGGGCAAAGTTATGGCCGTTCAATTTTTTTTTCCTTTTTTCATGGTTTTCTGATACTCCGGTTGGCGCCCCAGCGCGTGCTCTCTTCTCCTAGCTTTGCCCAGGCCACATAGCATCCCATGGCGTCACCAAGACCAGCCTTCTGTGTCAACTAGTGTTGCCTCTTACTCTAAGGCTGCGCCCAACGCCTGGACCTCGCTCAGGCTAACCAAGGCGTCGCCCCCATCTCTCCTTGGCTTTGGCATTGTCAATCACGCTTAGGGCGTCGCATCTTCTTGCACTTGCATGCCTCCCAAGGTCTCCAAGTCCAAGTTAGATATCGTCCATTATGTCCTACACCTCACCGGTGCTGACTACCTGAACACGAGAGACGTTGCCAACGCAACCAAGGTGTTGTCGCCTGCCTTGCCAAAGATAATTCTAGCCGCTGCGACGGCGTTACAAATGGCCACATGGGCGCCACCTGAAGCTAGGAAGGCATCGCTGGTGAAACCAACGCCTAGGGCGTCACCATCCAGCATCTCGCTAATTAAACTGCCGACGCCACTTGAACCCACTTCAAGAGCAGTGTCCAAGGTGTCGCCCATGCCAAGGCTATCACCTAGGAGTTGCATAGTGTCGCCCAGAACCAAGGCCCATTTTCTGGCATAGCCCAAATCCGCGGCAGCGGTTCCCATGCCCATTCAGTGTCACCCTGCCTCGCCTACCAGCGCCTCTCGGCCTCCACACCCAACCTTGTTCGAGCCCAACTGTGCCCAGTGCCCCTCCGTATCCGTGCTCAGTGGCATCCCCCGACGTTCGTGCACAGCCTCGTCTATTCCTAAAGACATAATTTTCATAAACTAAAGACATCATCAATTTACCTAGGTCCTCCATGATTTCGCCCATGGCACCACCCAGTCTTGTGTCTTCCCTGGTGTTGCCCTGGTTCATATCCATGGCACCACTAGTCAAAGCATCTCCATCTTCACGGGCCGAAGCGTCCATGTTTCTCTTTATCCTTTCTCCAACAATGGCATTACCAAATAGGGAAATAAGCTTCAAAAATATAATGGAGTGAAAAGCTGAAGAAATCATTGTATGAAACAAGATATCTGTTCTACCCAAAGGAAGGAGTTCATTCATGCCCTCAACCCCCCCAATCACTACTAGGGCTTGGGTCATGAGGGGCAAATGATGAGCCTAAATTTTACTAGGTCAAGCCCAAGTAATTAAATAAGGCCAAATTAGCTACAAGAAAGGTCAAGCCTAGCTCGTGGATTTGACCCAGTCCAAAGTTCAAGGGATCTAAGAAGATTAGTGCACGTGGGGAGCAATCATTGGGATACCTATTCTCGAAGATTAAGATACTCTCTAATTGTACTTACCTTTTATAGTTATCTCCCNTCACTAACGATTACAAATGGTCCACGTGTCAATTTATGGTTGTTGAGCCGCATAACGTCCCATCAAGTAATATCTAACGAGCCCATATTTTACTGGGTCATACCTAATTAATTAAGTAAGCCCAAATTAGATACAAGCAAGGTCAAGCCCAACTCGTGGATTCGGCCCAATCCAAAGTCCAAGAGATCCAAAAACGCACGTGAGGAATAATCATCTGAATATCCACTCTCAAAAATCAAGATAATTTTTAATTGTACATACCTTTTTGTAATTATCTTCAACGAAGGACTAGTGTCTTAACTCTCAAGCAACTGCCTCAACTAAGGCTATGTGCCTATAAATTGTAAACTTTCTATACATGAGAGAGCACCTCTCTACACACCCTACACATATATTTTCTCTTTTCTGAGTTATCATACCTCTCCCAGAGCTAACCTTTACTCTCTCTCTCTCTCTCTCTCTCATCTTATTTTATTAATAAAGTTTCATCGGCCACCGTTGTTGTTTCTCAGACTGAAGTAAGTCACCTGGACCGATCCACTATATATATGTGTGTGTTGACCAAAAATTTACCTTTTGTCATTGATTGTTTTATTAATTGTCCCATTAATTTCTTTGCATCATCCACTCGACTGTTGGTTGTGCATAAATTTATTTTGTACATCATTAGTTTGATGTCATTTGTGGGAAGCGATTTGATTCTCTCCTTATAGTCTTCCTACCTCCAATGGCAAGAACAATCACATCCATGAAACAACAAGCAAAAGATGACCTGTCACATCATGACGAGGTCCAGGCATCACCAGCAAAAAGTAGACACATACAAAATCTAATTTTTTAATAATTTGGGATTAAAAACTCAAATTCAGAGAGAAATAAACATTTTTTAGGAAAATTTGTTGGCCAAACCACTTTTGATAGTTTATAGGTCGTAGATCTCACAAAAAAAATTCCCGAATTCAAAAAATATCGCCTCAAACGGACAACCAAGGGCAAAGTTATGGCCGTTCAATTTTTTTTTCCTTTTTTCATGGTTTTCTGATACTCCGGTTGGCGCCCCAGCGCGTGCTCCCTTCTCCTAGCTTTGCCCAGGCCACATAGCATCCCATGGCGTCACCAAGACCAGCCTTCTGTGTCAACTAGTGTTGCCTCTTACTCTAAGGCTGCGCCCAACGCCTGGACCTCGCTCAGGCTAACCAAGGCGTCGCCCCCATCTCTCCTTGGCTTTGGCATTGTCAATCACGCTTAGGGCGTCGCATCTTCTTGCACTTGCATGCCTCCCAAGGTCTCCAAGTCCAAGTTAGATATCGTCCATTATGTCCTACACCTCACCGGTGCTGACTACCTGAACACGAGAGACGTTGCCAACGCAACCAAGGTGTTGTCGCCTGCCTTGCCAAAGATAATTCTAGCCGCTGCGACGGCGTTACAAATGGCCACATGGGCGCCACCTGAAGCTAGGAAGGCATCGCTGGTGAAACCAACGCCTAGGGCGTCACCATCCAGCATCTCGCTAATTAAACTGCCGACGCCACTTGAACCCACTTCAAGAGCAGTGTCCAAGGTGTCGCCCATGCCAAGGCTATCACCTAGGAGTTGCATAGTGTCGCCCAGAACCAAGGCCCATTTTCTGGCATAGCCCAAATCCGCGGCAGCGGTTCCCATGCCCATTCAGTGTCACCCTGCCTCGCCTACCAGCGCCTCTCGGCCTCCACACCCAACCTTGTTCGAGCCCAACTGTGCCCAGTGCCCCTCCGTATCCGTGCTCAGTGGCATCCCCCGACGTTCGTGCACAGCCTCGTCTATTCCTAAAGACATAATTTTCATAAACTAAAGACATCATCAATTTACCTAGGTCCTCCATGATTTCGCCCATGGCACCACCCAGTCTTGTGTCTTCCCTGGTGTTGCCCTGGTTCATATCCATGGCACCACTAGTCAAAGCATCTCCATCTTCACGGGCCGAAGCGTCCATGTTTCTCTTTATCCTTTCTCCAACAATGGCATTACCAAATAGGGAAATAAGCTTCAAAAATATAATGGAGTGAAAAGCTGAAGAAATCATTGTATGAAACAAGATATCTGTTCTACCCAAAGGAAGGAGTTCATTCATGCCCTCAACCCCCCCAATCACTACTAGGGCTTGGGTCATGAGGGGCAAATGATGAGCCTAAATTTTACTAGGTCAAGCCCAAGTAATTAAATAAGGCCAAATTAGCTACAAGAAAGGTCAAGCCTAGCTCGTGGATTTGACCCAGTCCAAAGTTCAAGGGATCTAAGAAGATTAGTGCACGTGGGGAGCAATCATTGGGATACCTATTCTCGAAGATTAAGATACTCTCTAATTGTACTTACCTTTTATAGTTATCTCCCCGAAGGACTAGTGTCTTTACCCTCACGTCACCATCTAAACTAAAGCTCTGTGCCTATAAATTATAAGTTCTCTCTACATGAGAGAGCACCTCTCTATACACCCTACACGTAGCTTTTCTCTCTCCTAAGCTATCATACCTCTCTCAGAGCTAACATATGTTTTATCTCTCTCTCACCTTATATTATTAATAAAGGTTTCCTGGCCATCGTTACCGTTTTGCCGATACAGAAATGTTACGCTGACTAAATTTTAGGACCAAATTTAAAACCAAATGACATGAAAACTAATTTAGATTTCTTTATTTGACGCCATGTTATTTGGGCCCTAATAAAGATTCCAAATAATATGCTGCCATGTCGTTTGAGTGTAAAATTTGATTTTAAAATTTGATCAATGTAACATTACTCTTTCTGGAGTGGAATAGGTCACTCGGACCGAATCATTATATATCTGTGTGTTGACCAAAAACTTACCTTTTTGCCATTGATTGTTTTATTAATTGTCTCATTAATTTTCTTGTATCATTCCCTCGACTGTTAGATGTGCATAAGTCTATTTTGTGTATCATCAATATCCATTATTTATAACAGAGCTCTTCACCGATACACATTGCGTGATTCAAGAGGGGGTGTTTGGTTTAGGGGTTAGTTGTAGGGGGTCACTGTCCCTGTCGCTAAATATTCTGTTTGAAAGAGGATAGTCTACCAATTAGCTTCGGCGCCAATATAAAAACAAGAAACAATGATACATGCATGCTATTGCTATACCTAACCAAACTTAGGTGGAATTTTATAGGTTTAGAAAAAGATGAAGACTGAGTGAGCAGTGAATAGATTGGACAGGTGGTGCTGGTGATAGTGGATTACATTTAATTATAGATTAAACCTTTTTCCAGGTTTAATTTATAAGCAAAGTACTATAATGGGTGCTATTTAATATGGTAAGACAATCAAGTCTTTAGCTCTATACAGCGCAAGTTTCTCCAGTCACCATAAACCCCCACCCCCTTCTCTCTCTCTCTCTCTAACAAGTACAGAGAGGCAGTGTTATCAGTCCACAGATGAAGAGAAGGCTTCTAGGGTGATGCTCTCTCTCTCACTTTGTGGCANTGGTAAGACAATCAAGTCTTTAGCTCTATACAGCGCAAGTTTCTCCAGTCACCATAACCCCCCACCCCCTTCTCTCTCTCTCTCTAACAAGTACAGAGAGGCAGTGTTATCAGTCCACAGATGGAGAGAAGGCTTCTAGGGTGATGCTCTCTCTCTCACTTTGTGGCATTTTTTTTTTTGTGAATGTCTCTCCAGTTCAGGAATGAAGATAAAAGGTCGAAGATGATGGAAAGGTAAATGGGATATGCCTGGCTCCCTGTATGCCACACACAAAGATCAATCTGATAATCAGTTGATTGACTTTGGCGGGTGGCGTGCGAGGAGCCAAGCATGTCGAACTCTCTCTCTGTCTCTGTGTGTGTGTGTGTTGTGTAGGCATTACTAGTGTGAATGCTTCCTTATGTTCATTTAGGTTTGCTTTGTTGTGTTCTTGCTTCTTTGCAGTTCCTTTTTCCCCTTGTTAATGATGTACCAAGGTTTTAATGTGTTCATGCTGACATCATGTTTGCAGCCTCTATCATATGATCTACTTCTATATAGATGTTAGAAAATGAAAATGAGATAAAATTCAACAAGAAAAGAGTACCATTTTCAACCTTTTTCTTCTATTTTTCTTGTTCTCCGAGTCGTTTATGCGGATCTTTTGTTTACAGCGTCTACCAGATCCAGCACTAACACTGTTAATATATGCAATCTTCTGCTTAATTGGCTCGGTTTCTAAAACCAAAAGTCGTACTGATTTGGGTTATATGTTAGTATGAAAAAAATTGTGGTGAACAACATATGATTATTGGATTATGCATTATTTTCTGCTTGACGGTCATAACATTGAAAATCTTTCTGATAAAACATGAACCTTTGGTGATTAGCTTTCTATAGGATTACACATTCTATTAATTCCCTTGCTTTGTTTTCAAAAAATTTAAGCTTCACAATTCTTGACTAGTCTCCACGGATCTCTCTTTTGGTAAATAAATAAAATTTTTACTATGTCCTAAAAATTTTTGTGCATTGTCTTAACATTAGTAGGATAATGGATGTTTTACACCATGAAATAGCATGGCAACCTTTTATGCATATTGTTGGAGCTTGATCCAACGAATTTCAAATTCATGTCATAATGGTAACTTTATAAGCGTTTAATATTTTCCCTTTTCACCCATAAACTATAAAAATTAGAGATCAAACTAGGTGAGAGATAAATAAGGAAAGATAGTGAAGAATTGTATAATTTCTCTAACACTTATCTGTCTATACATAATATATAGGAATGTAGTTGGTTTGGATGAGCTCCAATACCCCATCTCAATTTTCCTGAATTTTTTGTTTTTTAAATAACCAAATTTGATTTGACTATATGTCATTAACTTCTTCTAACTACTCCCACAAAAATATTTTATTTTATCATCGTTAATTTAGCACAAAAATAAATAACTTTCCAACAATACTAGAGTCGAGGTGGGGGTAGGGATGGAATGAGGGGTGGTGATAGGGGTTGTAGAATTGTTATTAGAGATATTGAAAATATCGTGTATCGCATGGGACGCTGCTAATAATTGAAGAAGAAGGTCTAGATATATATACATGTAAATGAGAAATCCAACAATTTTTATTGCATGGTTATATGAAAAATCAATTATATGTGTTAGACAAATTGTAGGATTCTTCACATTTATATAATCCACATTTTTCAATCTTTCTTTCCTTCCATAATCTCGGATGAGCATGTTGCAGTCAATTTGAATATTTCTTGTATGTAAATAGTAGATATACTTTTTATTTGCATAACAACGTAGTTGGATACTTTCAAATAAATAGTTAGATTATGATTCAATGTTTATTGATGAGTGAAGGTAAATACTAAATATAAATACTTGTCAAATTTTGTTATGCCAAAAAGAAACTACAATAGCCAATTTGTTATGGCCTTAACATATACGGGTATATTCCAACTTCTCATTAAATCAAATCTTTTAAAAATNCAAATTTTGTTATGCCAAAAAGAAACTACAATAGCCAATTTGTTATGGCCTTAACATGTACGGGTATATTCCAACTTCTCATTAAATCAAATCTTTTAAAAATCAGTTCTCACATAGATTAACTACTAACAAATCATTTCTGACAAAACTCAAAATAAAATCAAACCCAAATGAGATCAAAGATAGAGTGATCATACGCTACACATTGTAGACTGAAAGACAGAAAAATCTATGAAACGGCTTATCTTTTCTTGCTCTTGTTCTTGCTTTGTTTCTTCTTCTTCAATGTCCAAACATAAACAGAACAACATAATTTTTTTCCTTTGTTCTAGATTTGATTAAAGATTCCATATATTTTCATTATAGCATTAGGACAACAATTAATAAGGTACAAGGCAGCAACTTTGTACAAAATAACGTGAGAGTTTAGTTTTTTACACAATCTATCACTGCATGACAATATTTGACAAGTTTTTGAATTTATTTCCAGTTTTATTGATAACACAAATTGTGACCTATTGCTCTATAAAGAATTTTGATATCTTCGAGAATGTCAGGGTGTTTTTTACACAAATTGCAATTACAGATTCTTGATATGTTCATTCGACTGGGGGACTCAAAACCTGTTACTAGCATACGAACGTGGTCGTTGTTCTGACTATTAGCCTCTAACATCTTCTCATTTATTATGATAAAAAAAATTTTCATTCTATTTTATATGCTGATATACCAATCATTTTCCTTTACCTTTCCAAGTTGATATAAAGCTAGAAAAGCATAGTGCTGGGTTCCAGGTGATGCAGCTTTATTCTCCTCAAAAGCACTTAATGCAGCCTCATCTTCACAAGATGAGTTAGATGGAACATAAACCCCGCAGACAGGCACATATATACGCGGTTCATTTCATTATCTTTTTTTTTTTTTTAGGAGGGAGACTTGAACTCTTGATTTTAAAAAGATAAAGCCTTCATAAGATAAGAAGTATCATTAGACTAAAAACCTGTTTGTGCCTTCCAATTGAAACTCTATCATGCNATTTTTTTTTTTTTTTTTTTTTTTTTGAGGAGGGAGACTTGAACTCTTGATTTCAAAAAGATAAAGCCTTCATAAGATAAGAAGTATCATTGGACCAAAGACCTGTTTGTGCCTTCCAATTGAAACTCTATCATGTNGACCTTGTCTATTACTATCACTAGCCTG